GCCCCCCAGCGGGACGTGGGCTTGGGTCAGCATGGGGAGCGAGCCCCCTGGGCTGTGGCTGCTGACGGGCAGCCTGTGGCCGTGTCCACCCACTGGACCCTCCCGCACTGGGGACACCTCAGGAGCATGACCGCTTTCTCACTTAGACCGTCGTGGTTTTCTCGTTGGGTTCTGTGTGACTGACCTTGGGCTGTCACTCGAAGCAGCAGGAACGTGCCCCCCGCAGGCTCCGGAGCCCAGAGTGCCGAAGCCCGGGTGCAGGCACAGCTACTCCCTCCCAGAGGCTCTGAGGGGGCCTGTCCCACGCCCCCTCCCAGCTCCTGGTGGCTGCTGCCCATCGACCTGCGGACCCTCCGCCCCGATCTCTGCCTCCGTCTTCACGCGGCCTCTGCGGTCTCCCTTTACATCTCCATCTTTCGATAGGGTGCCGGCCGCTGGGTCGAGGGCCCGCCTAAGCCTGGCCTGGCAACACGAGCGAGGCCCTAGTTTCCAGTGAGGTCATAGTCAGAGGTCCCCAGGGCTAGGACTGTAGCCGACCTTTCTGGGGACACTCACCCACTCCCGATAGGCACAATGTGCTCCCTCTCATGCCCCTGCAGGAGGAAACTGGCTAACGGTGGGAGTATTTGCCCGGCAGATGTGACAGAGGGCAGTGGTTAGGAAGGAGTTTGACTCCTGGACGAGACAGGCCCGTGCCGCCCGCACCCCCCACTGGCCGGACCTGAGGGCTGGCCGACCTCTCCTTGCCTCCCTTTCTCCCCCTGGGAGATGAGGGCGAGAGCAGTGTGACCCTCGGGAGGTTGCGAGGTTTCAAGGAGATGACGCAGGTGCCAGGTCCTGTGTGGCACTTGGTCACCGTGACTGTTGTCGCTGTTGTGACTTTTATTCTCCGGTGTGGCACTGAATCTGAAGGCGTGTGCTTCTTGGTGAAGCTTCTCTCCTCTGCTGCTTTCCTCAGGGTCCTCCGGGCAAGGACGGGCTGCCAGGACACCCTGGACAGAGAGGCGAGACCGTGAGTACGGGTGATGCTGGGGACGCGAGCTGGCCTGGCGTCCCCCACGGCCTGGCCTGTGGGCACCGCCGTCAGTGCCCGCTGGCTTGGGAGAGGGCGGTTGGCCGTGGGAAGGCCCTGGGGTCTGGGCTGTCTTCTGACTTGGGGTGAGGCCCGTCTGGCGACAGCCCTGTGCAGACCAGCAGCACCTGGGACATCTCCGCGCAGAAGGCAGATGCCGGCTTCGAAGTTGTCCTACCGACTTTGGTCTAAGGTCACACGCAAACAAAACGCCATCAAGCTCCTACCCCGGGCAGCCAGCCTCTGCCCCCCAGAAGGCTCTGAGTGCGGTCTCGCTGGACCATGCGTGTCGTGGCCTTTTGGGAAAGCAGCTGGCGGCTCTCCGTTTCCAGCGGTGTCATCTGGTTCCTTCACACCGTAAAACCTCGAGAGGAGGGCTGGGCGCCTCACGCTGATCCTGGCTATGTCCACCCAGGGCTTGGCCACAGGGCCGGCGGTGGGGCGTGGAAGGCTCCTTCACTTTCATGATCGTGAGGACAGGTGGCCGTTCGGCCGGGATATGGGCCTCGGCATGCTTGCCAGCACCGTCTTTGCCATCAGGGCTGACCTCCGCCCTTGTCCTTGCCCTGAGAGATGCCCGTCGCATGGAAGGCAAAGGGCTCTGGCGTTTTTTAGTTGCAGAAAAAGCATCAGGTCATTGCCTGCCTTGCGAGCCATTTCGGATTTGGCCTAGCGTCACGCCGTGTCCACTGGGGACATGTCCCAGGGAAGGCCGTGGGTGCATCTGTGACCTTGAGGCTCCAGGGCAGGGGACTCGCGGTGCCTGGCGACCTCCTTGTCACCTCTTTGGTGGAGGCGGACGGAAAGGGTCCTTTGTTTCTGCAGTTGGTTTCCTGGGCGCACAGCTCTGTGAGGGACTCAGCAACAGCAGCCCCTTCCGGCGTGAGGTGGCAAAGGCCATCGCAGAGGTGCTGAGGGTGCCGGCTCTTTCCAGCGTCCCGTTGTCTCTGGTTCATTGTGACGGAACCTGGTGGCTGACAAATGGAGATGACTTTGCTCTTTTGTTTCTGGAGAGAAAGGAAAACATCGCGTCGGAGCTTTGCATGTTTTTCTCATGTTGTTCTGAAGAGGCAGGATGGAAGGTTTTGCACAGCACGCGCTTTCTCCCTGTGACTTACTCTCGAAAGAGCTGGCAAAATAAGCCGCTCGTCTCTGCTGGGAAAAGAATAAGGTCCCTTCCGGCTACCTCTGCCATGCCGGCCACCCCTGTAACACTGGAGCACCCCACCTGCAGGCCCGCCTGGACGACGTCTCCTCCATGGGAGTAGACACGGGCTATGTTATTCCTTCTCCTGATTGTGCCCGAAGCCCTGTTCTCAGCAAGGGACGACGTCCATCCTCACAGCGTGGTCCTCACCAGGGACCAAACGGGGGCATTCCAGTTCCACCCCTGGCTCCTGCGCTGCTCGGGCACCTCTGCCCTGTCCCTGAGCGGGGGCCCCTCGGCTCATCACCGCCCCTGCCTCTGACCCCGTAAGCGCCGCCTACGGAGAGAACTATGGAGAAAAATGGCCATTTCAGCCTGTTGCGCACAGCTCGGCTGGGCCTGGGGAGCTCTCCCAGAAACACACGCAGGGCGAGTCCTCTGTGGGCTCCGTGTCACGCGGCAGGTCCCTGCATGCTGGCCATCCTCAGCGCAGCGGCCCGCCACCCGACTCATCGGCCATGGGCAGGTCTCTTCACCCTTTAGGTGTGGCCTTCGAGCCAGCTGCTTCCCTCTTCAGACTCCAGAGTGACATCTGCACGTCCCTCGCAGTGCCACGTGGCACCTGCAGACGGCACATTGCTGGCACGCGCTCTGGAGATGCGCCCGGAAGTTCAGGCTGCGCTGCCTTGTGGTCAGCTTCCCCCATGGGAATGGAGGGGCTGCCAGGCATCATGTCTGGGCCAGTGCGCAGAGCAGAAACGAGACGGGCCCGTGAATCGAGCTCACAGTCCATCAGACGCAGCGAGGCCGCGCTCGCCCCTGACCCGAGGGAGCAGAGGCGCCCGCTGGTCATGCCGCCCGTCCTGCGAGGGCGTCAGCGACAATCAGCCACACGACCAGGACCTTTCCCGCAGGGTCGCTGATGAGACACGGTCCAGAGGCAGCGCCAAGTCGAACTTCTGGCCGCTGAGAAATGGCACCAGATCTGCTCAGAAAAGCAACACACTTAGTGACCTCATTAAGATTAATGGCTTTAAAATATATTTCTCATCACAAAAGCACAGCAACATGAAGCAGCTTGTGAAACCGACTTGTCTGCTTCATTCCCTTGAATGAATGCAGAAGCGGACAGGAGACACGGGCCCCACTGAGTGAAGTCCGCAGGGTCCACTGCGTGGGGACGGGTGGCGACGGGACGTGAGGGCCACGCGGGCGGGGTGATGTGGGCCGCTTCGGCCATCTCAGTGCGGTGACTCTCTCTTCCCAGGGTTTCCAAGGCAAGACTGGCCCCCCAGGTCCCCCGGGCGTGGTCGGCCCTCAGGTGAGATGCCACGGACCCAGGTTTCACTGGTCGCCCGTCACCTGCCCACACGTGGGGGAGGGTCCTGGCTCGGGTGTCGGTCTCCCAGGCTTCTGAAGGTGCAAGTGTTGCCAACAGAAACTGAAGTTCCTGACGCCTGTCAATATCGAGACGTGCTCTGTGCAGCAGTTGAGGGGGCGGGGACTCAGGAGCGGTCCCCATGAACCAGGCAGGCAGAACAAGGATGGCTGCCCGAGGCCTCTGGGCAGTTGGGGCCAGACCGGGGCTGGGCGCGGGGTTTGGCTTCCACCCATGGGCAGGAGCCAGCTGTGCCCGCTTGTCCTTGCTCTTGGTGTCCACTGCAGCTTGGTTTCGGTGCCCCGGGCCCGCTGTCCTAACCGCAGCCTGGACTCGTGGCTCAGAGCGACACTGCAGGGCAGCTGTCACCCTGTTTCTTGGGATGTTTGCACCTAACGTAGCAACAAATAAGACGCTGAGCTGCACGGCCACAAGCTGCAGGGAACGTGGGCACACGCCTCTCCTGGGCAGCCGTGGCTGCCCCTCAGTGCCCTCCTCCTCCCGTGACACCCTGGGAAACGCGGGCCATGTCCCAGTGTGTTGGAGGGGAACGCTGGACCACAGGGGGGCCAGGCCGCCAGCTGACCCCCCACGGCCACCTGCTTGCTTTGGTCCCCTCCTTCCTGGAGCTTTACCAGAAGGACACCTGCAGAGCTCCACGGAGGCTTGGTGGCCGTGTGGTGGCCCTTCGCCCCTGTGGCCAGGGCTGTCCTCAGATTTAGGCAGAGAGGGTCACCCCCTTGTGTGCCCCTTGAAATTTGTGGCTGACACCGATTCTCCCCCCAGGGCCCCACAGGAGAAACTGGTCCGATGGGCGAGCGAGGCCACCCGGGGCCCCCGGGCCCCCCAGGTGAACAGGGGCTCCCGGGCCTTGCCGGGAAGGAGGGCACGAAGGTGAGTCACTTGGACGTCCACGCCAGGCCGCACTTTTCCCGAGGTCGTTTTGGTACTTTTCCGATGACTGGGTCATTGCTGCACCGAGTGCTCTGCGTGCCAGTCTCCGCCCCGACCCGGACTCAGTTCCGCTTCCGCTCGATGGGAAGCGGGGCCTGGGCTGACCCGCCACAGGGACGGATGGAGCAGGGGCTGGGGGTCGAACGTCCTAGGCCTTCTGCCCCGGGCCCTGTCTCGTCACCAGCCCTCCCCCCAGCTGTCACACCTGCTCCCAGAAACTGAGCAAACGCTCTGGGACTTCACGTGTCTAAAACGAGACCCTTAACCCATTCTCCGCTCGCCCCGTGAACACTCGCCGGCGGTACGTGCAGCTGCAGCGTCTACCCCGAGATAACTCGCGGATCACAGTCCTGACCTCGCCCCCAAGTCTGCCACGAGATACCGCGCTTTTATTACTATTTTCACATCCCTCTAGCATATCGATGGTCTTTGGAAACAAACGACATCATTCTGTTTATAGCATTCTGCTTTCGGTAGCGGCGTTTCCATTTGCAGAACGTAGTCATTCTCTATCGCTGAAAATGTCAAATCCTAGAAAACGTAGCGTTGCTACGCGTGACGTGAGCATCATGCGTGAACAGTCGTTGGCCGGAGATTCATTTGATGAATCGGATTTGTGTACATATCTCTGTCACACTAGGGTCAGAGACAAGTTCTGTTTAGAAACAGCTCCCAAAACAGCTTTTGTATTTTATTTTTACACTGAAAATCAGTTAGATTTGTGTCATCCTCAAAGAGCGTGTTTATGGGAAATTAAATTAACGTTGGCAGCGAGCTGCACTTTTTTCCCTAAATGAGAAATGGGTTAAAAAATCCTCCACTATTATTAGAGACTAAAGAATAAGTAATAAAAATTGAGGATGGGTACGCTTCTGTCTTACCTCCTGGCACCAGCTCGTGTCCCCTGTTTCTCAGGAAGCCCCTCCCACTCCGCCCCCCAGCCTGGATGCCCCACGCTGGGGGTTGTCATGGCTGCGTGTTAGCGTAAAAATAGGTAATTCTTCCCATTTCAACTTTTCAGTAAGGGACACAGAAAATAACCCCATGCAAGAGAATCAACAAGAAACAATGACGTAAAGCCAATCAAAGAAACACTGAAGAAAGTCCACATGCGGATATACGTATACGTATATGTACTTAAATACATACGTACACTTGGGAAATTACATATAAGTGTGTGTAAGATATCGGTATATAGATACAAACACAAGTACAGATATATAGATAGAGGTATTGATAGAGATACAGGTATAAATACAGATTAGATAAAAGCACAGATATAGATAATAGATACAGGTATAGGTACAGATGTATGTACAGATATAGATACAGATACAGGTACAAGTACGGACACAGGTATCAGTCCCTGTTGCAAGGATTGCTGTCCAAGTTTGGAAAGGAGGCTAAGGGCTTGCTGGTTGGGAGACCCCCGTGCTCCCATGTTGGACCCCAGGGAAAATCCCGGAAGCTCTCACAGCTCTAGCGTACCTCCAGGAAGGTGTGTGCTCGCATGGTGCAATGCTCCCAACACCTTGGCCACGGCCCCTCACTCTGAGCAGTCTCACGAGGAGCCCCAGGCCTCTCAGAAGGCAGATGTGGGTCACTGCCACCCACGCAGCCCCAAAGGACTCGGGAGCATCGCAGACCCGTCGCCAGACCCGCCCACAGAGTGACCTGACGCTGGGCCTCCCAGGCGCAGGCTTGGGCCGTGCTGTGTGGAGTCGGCCAGAGGCCTTCGAAGCCCAGCGCCTGGGACACCCTGCCCCGGCCCCGCCCCCACAGACCCTGTTCCTGGCCGGTGCCCACACTGACCCATGGCTCTGATTTCAGGGCGACCCGGGCCCCACCGGCCTCCCCGGGAAGGATGGCCCTCCGGGACTGCGTGGCTTTCCTGGGGACCGAGGGCTCCCCGGTCCAGTGGTGAGTGAGGGGCCGTCGAAGCCCAGCGCCTGGGACACCCTGCCCCGGCCCCGCCCCCACAGACCCTGTTCCTGGCCGGTGCCCACACTGACCCATGGCTCTGATTTCAGGGCGACCCGGGCCCCACCGGCCTCCCCGGGAAGGATGGCCCTCCGGGACTGCGTGGCTTTCCTGGGGACCGAGGGCTCCCCGGTCCAGTGGTGAGTGAGGGGCCGGGGCGGGGGGGGCAGGGGGGATGCAGGCAGACACTGCCTGGCCTTGCGGCCGCTCCCCGCAATGCCCCTGACCACAGCCTCGTTCTCTGCAGGGAGCACTCGGACTGAAAGGCAGCGAGGGCCCCCCCGGCCCGCCGGGCCCCGCGGTGAGTGACGTGGGTCCCACGGAAGCATTAACGCCCTCTACTCTCTAGTTCACCTACGCCGCGGGCAAGGCAGGGCGGTCCCGCGGGCCGGGAGAGGGCACACTGACCCGCGGGTGCTAAAGGCTGTGGCGATGGACTTGGGAGGGAGGTGGACAGTGTGTCCTCAGCTGGCATCTGGGGGACAGAGGGCCACGGGGGTCACCTTGTTTGAGGAGAGGTGGAGCCCTGGGCAGTTTGGTGGGAGGGCTGTGAGGAGCAAGCGCTGAAGGACATTCTCAGTCACTGGGCGGGGGCGGATGTACTTGGCCTTACAGGAGAAGAGCTGAGAGGGGGCCGGAAGCACAGCACCTCACAAGCCAGACTCAGCAGTCTGTGCTGGCCGGGCCCAGGGGGCCACTGGGCTCTGCGGCGAGAGGCGAGGGGTCAGACGGACAGCGCTTTAGGGAACCGTGTCAGCATGGTGTGAGGGCCTTCGCCGCGAACCCTGTTCTTGTCGCATCCAGGGGTCTCCGGGGGAGAGAGGCCCGGCCGGTGCCGCTGGGCCCATCGGAATTCCAGGGAGGCCTGGGCCCCAGGGACCTCCAGGGCCAGCTGGGGAGAAAGGAGCTCCTGTAAGTACCACCTCAGATGCCGGGGGCCTCCCATGCCCTGGCCTGTCCCCGTCTCTGTGCCCCCCCCTCCCCGTGTGTATTTCCCTGGGCGTCTGTGGGATGGGAGAAGGGCTGAGTTGGAGGTCACTCTCCAAGGAAGTGCGGGTGTGTGCCAGGTGTCTTCCCTGAGGTCCAAGGGGGCAGGTCCCCAAAGTTGGTCAGCATCTCTCAGCGAGTTCCTGACCTGGAGGGGTGCCCGGGAATGTCCCAGCTAAGGCTCAGGGTATCCAGACATGCCTTCAGCCTTGGTCTGGGTCCAGGCTCTGAGTGCCATGGCGGACGGGCCACAGATGCCTGCCGTGTGCACGGCCCTTCGCTGCTGGTCCGAGCCCACGGCGGTCGATATGTGAGAAAGGAGGGTGCTTGGGACAGGCGCGCCTTTTTTTGGGCCAGGGCAGGTGTGGAGAAAAGAAGGGACAGGACACGTGTGACAGGGAGATAAGAACGTTCTGGTCCCCAACACCGCCCTCTCAGCGCCCCCTGAGCATGGCACCCGAGTGTGGAGGCTTTTTGGGACCTCGAGTTTGGGGGGGATTCTGAATCTTGGTTTCCACAAAGGAGACTAATGAGTCCCTTCTTGTCTGGACCCCTGGCCAGCTACCAGCCCGCCTTGGCCCCTCAATCCCCCGACGACTCACAAACGCCCTCACTGCCCCGACGTACCTCACCTGACCATGTTGGGCTCTGCCACATGGCTTTTGCAAACTGCCACCCGCCCAAAATTCAATCAGCCATGGGGACAAATTTCAGCCCAGACTTCCCTTCTGAACTCAGGACGTCAGGATGAGCTGAGTTGGTGGCGGGGGCGGGGTGCGGGGGGAGCAGTGTCGGAGGACAGTCTCAAGTGGGTAGGGGTCAGGGTGGGAGCTGGCTGATTCCCACGGGGGCGGCGAGTCTTCCTATGCATTTCGCTCTCGGTGGCTCCCCGGGTGAGAACGGCCACCGAAACCATGCTGGGAACCCCAGCGCCATCGAGAATGTGCTGGCATCTCACCACTTCCGGTGAGGCGCCCAGGACGCTGGTCCAGCTGAAGCCGCGTCAGAACCTGACGCCTGCCGGGCCCTGGTGCATGTGGAGCACACAGATCCGGCTGGAAACAGTTTGGTTCGTTGTCTCGAGAGAGTAAAGATTTGAGCAGAAACCTCTCGAGAGTGGCACTAGCCGTGACAAGGCTGTCACCGCCAGATCAGCTCCAGAGAGCACGGGGCGAGGAAAGGTCAGGTGTCTGTCTCCGAGCGATGCCGGCCTGAGCAGTGACGTGGGGAAGAGGCCGACCGCCTCGGGCTTGGCCAGGGCAGGGCTGCCATCGCAGGGACTGAGGACTGAGCGTGAGGGGCAGGGGGGAGCCACGCATGCGGGAGGGGTC